GAACCAATTAAACTGAATGTAACACACCGCTATTCAAGAGGCAAGTCTAGGTGGATCAGCAATCTGAGTTCCTGACTCAGTGTGGCTCCAGCTCTGTGCTAAGACAGTCAAGGGGCTTGGGGTCTCTTTCTGGATTCCCAGCACCCCTGCGGCCAGGAGCACACAACCTCCAGGGCTCTGTTCCCCTCACTACTCTGCTGTGGGCTTGAAAAGGGGCTCCTCACCACCCCACTTCATTACCCTTAGCACTGCTTGGATCAGGCCCCGACTTTCAAACAGGAACAGAGAAAACCAATAAAACAAGAAAACTACGAAGTATGGGATACTGACACTTAGGCTTGTAAGCTGGGAAGATGGTGTGTTCTCGGGGACTCACAGGCCTACAGAATGCTCAGGAGAAAAAAGAACCTCAATCAAATCCCCTGTCCCAGCCCTGGGACCATCTCCACAGGGTGAGCATCATATAAGCATCTGCCTTCCAGATGTCAACACCTCCCCTTTTCAAAGACAGGCCTAAAGGGGTGGGGGCAGGCACCAATGTGGCTCCAAGAAGGTCTGAAATAGAAAGAAAATTCTGGTTTTGCTACAGGTTTCACTATCAGAAAGACCTGGGCTCTCATCCTATCTTTATGACCAGGACCAAGTTATGCCACCACTGGTTCCTCATCTGAAAAGTGAAGCCAAGAATACTTACCTCCCAGAGCTAGTATGGGGATAAAAGTTCACATGTAATATCACCCAAGGCCAGCCTGTCTGACCTACCCTTTGCCCACTCCAACTGCATGACAAAAATCATACCCCACTCTAACCCCATGGGAGGCCCTCATATTCAGTAACAGGGTGGCTGTTGAGTTTGGTGACCATGACAGATTGAGGCTGACACATGAACTACCACTAAAGGCAAGCCACCCTGGCATGTCTGTCTCAAAATAAACATGACTTCCCCTCCCAATTCCTGACATAATGGGTTTAAAGTAATCCACGAGGAACAAACGAACCCAGATAGGAGGTGGAAAACCCTCATGGCTGGCAGGCAGCCACTCTACCTGATGACACAGTTGCCGCGGTTGGATGCAAAGATGACGATGGGGGCAATAGAAGACTCCAGGGCCCGGTGCAGGTAGGTGAAGCACTCGATGTCCAGCATGTGGACCTCATCAACGAAGAGCACGCCTGGAACCAGCTCAGCAATGCCCTGATCAATGTATTTGTTCACCACCTTGTTAATCTCCCCTCGAAGTTTATCTACGAGACAGCCAGGGAGCACAGGCAAGGTCAGTACCAGGTGGGGAAATCGGTCACCTTTTCTCTTCTCCCTCCATCTGCATTCAACCCAAACCCAAATTTGGAGCATGGTTTTACTGCTAGCTATGTGACCCCAGGCAAGTGATGTCCCCACTCCAGGCTTCAGTTTCATCATCTGAAAGGAGGTATAATCACACCAGAAGTCACAAGATTGGCAGCTCCCCCTCAAGATGTACTTTAAGTCACACTCCCCACCAAGCTTTATTACTCACTCCTACCCAAACTTAGCTCCCTGCCCACTCCCAGAGACACTGGAGTTTGGGAGCCCTGGATGAAATGATTTTCAATATGCAAATTTTCCTGTTCTGCACTGATAAATGACCTTTCTTTTGGCCCTGTATGACAAGCTTAATTAACATTCAGTCAAGTGCCTGGACGAAGGAATGAAGGAATGAATAGAAGTCGCATGTAGAATCCTCTCTGGAAGAAAACCCGTGAGGAATAAAAGGTTCTCAGGAAAGGTCCAATCTCAGGGCTCTAAGAGGAATGAGCCTCTCAAAAGTTAAAGAACCCATCTAAGGTCACAGTTGTCATTTTCCAAACCAGCTCCTGTGCTATCATCAGGAGGAAGCTGCTCATAAACACAGAAAATGAAGATTTGATACAGCATTTCCCACCAAAGCTATGAGACAGAGATGGTCAAAAAAAGGGTGCATAGTCAAAATCATGTTAAAATACAGAAACTGCTCTTGGCAATTCTAGTAGAAAGACCTCAGATCACTCCACTGGCTAAAATTTTAAAGAAAATAGATGTTTTAATGTTTAACATTTTAATGTGACAAAGCTATAGGTGGTAAACAGGGGAAAAAAAAAGGGACGTACCAGTTGGGAAGAGAAAAAGGGTAAACTAAAGGTCAAGGGAGCAGCAACATTCCTGCCAAGCTCTGCAAAGTGCCCAGGAGGCTGAGCAGGGCGGGCTGGGGAGCTCTGGCAGGGGAGGAGGGTTCAGTACCTAGGCAGCAGAGCTTATTGTGCTTAGATGTGTTCTGGTAGGAGCTATCCTGAAGAGATGGGGTGACACAATCCACATTTCTGGGACCTCAAAGGAACCAGAGACAGTGACATCCATCTCTGAAGATGAATGCAAGGATATTGAATGCAGTCAAAAAAGTGTGCTAGCATGCAGGAACAGAGAACACACGGTGTGCTGTTGGCTATCTAAACCAGCCAGAGATTATTAGGATAGAGTCAGGCTCTGAAGGAAGAGGAAGAAAGAACCTGTCCCAAGGCACTTCCTCAGCTTTGGGGAGTCACTCACAGAGCCTCAGAGACAGGAAGGATATCAAAATCCAGGGCCCCCCAGCTCTGCTTATGGCTCACAGGCCTCGCTGTTTTTTTTTACCTGTGATTTCTGTCTTCTTTGGCTTCATTAACTGGCCCATCATAGATAGGATGTCTTGTCCCCCCTATGAAAGAAAAGATTTAGAGTCAGTCTTGCTTTCTAAGGCAGCTGCAAAAGCCTTACCACCACCACCCTCCATCCCACCAGTTCCCAATGTCAACTTGACATGGGGTCCTGAGGTGTGTAGACCCTAGATAGCCCCACTGGAAAGCTTGAGGAGCTTCTAAACATAGGACTTCTTAAGAGGATCCCCCTGACCTGCAGGAATCAGATGAAATCCCTTCATCAGAAGTACAAGCTCTGTGGCGCCTAGCCCAGCCTCCATCTCCAGCCATATCTTTTTCTAACCCCACATTCCTTGATAAGCCAGAAAGGACTCTTAACCCTTCCCTGAACACCCTAGCTCTTTTATGACTAAATGCTTTTGCGTATTCTAGTCCATCTGCCAGGAACTGCATTCTCTTTCTTGGGAAACTCCCAGTTATCCGCTAAAGTTCAGGTCAAACACCCTCTGTGGGGCGTCTGACCCCTAATCCCCTCCTGATGTTCCAGCTCCCTTGGGGACAGATGGACTATCAAAGTAGGTATAAGGGTGTATCTAATAATGTTCCCATGTCTCCTCGCACTAGACTTGGCTACACAGTCACATTAACGTAGTCCTGACCTGGAGCTGCTAAGAGTCTTGTGAACCTGCCCCTGCATAATAGCAGACTCCTAACAGGCTCACCACCTGCCTGCATTCTGCCCGCCAGCTCCTCGTGGTGCAATCAGCAAGAGAAGGCTGCTGTTTTGTCATTTACCAAGCATTTGATGATCACCTGTTGGTTACCAGGTCCTGGGACACAGAGGTGCTCTCTGAATGTTCAAGAGTAAAAGGTAGCAAATGTTTCCTGAGTTTCCTGAGTAATTACAACACCTAATCCTCCAAACAGCCCTGCAGGCAGGAACTATTATGCCCATTTCACACAAGAGGAAACTCAAAATCAGAGAGCCTTAAGTCACAGAAAACCCGGAGACCCAAAGCAACTAACTAGCCAAGCTCAGTAGTGTTGGAGCAACACAATCCCTAACTTCTTCTCAGCCCAGCATTCTTTCCAAGTCACAGGCTCCCAGGAGGTTGGCTTGGGGAGAGCCATTCCACAAGCAGAGGAGACCTGTTGGTCCAAGATGATTCTTTAGCAATTTCTTGGCCAAGGCTCCAAGGGATAAAACACCCAAGGATCCAATTTCAAGTTAGAAAGCCTACTCCCTGCTAGTGAAGAGGTGGCCTCTCTTTGATGAAGAGGAAACCAAATGAAAGACTGCCAGCAAGGAAGATTTGGGTTTTTTAAATCACACATTTTCCAGAGATGTCATAAAGTCATACTGTACTTTCTCACATTTTATTAGTCAAAGCATAAGTATCCATCTTCTACTCAGCAATGAAGAGCAGCTACAATCTGTTCCAAGTTATAAAACTGGGGATTTTGCTCAGCAGGGCAAAGACAGCTTTGTCAGGCTTTCTGAAATCCTGCAAGAAAAGGCTCAAAGAACACTCCTGCCCTCCCACCATTAACACCCAGAGAGTCCCAGGTGTGAGCCCGCTGCTGCTGGAGAAAAGCCACACAAGAAGCTGCCTAGCTCAGGCCCAACAGCTTGGCTGGAATAAGGAACAATACACATGAAATCATCTGTGACTAGAGCATTTGAATTAGAACAAAGGAGTCCCTCGTAGCTCATGTAGCTGTTAATTGCTGAATATTACAGATAGAAAAGGACTGGCTGCCCTGAGAAACAGTAGCAAGACTGACAATTTACTCCCAGAGCTTCCATGCACATGCAAAAGGTTTGTGTGCCAGGTCATGCTGGTATAAAGGCAGTACCTGGGGCCGAGCATTGGCCACGTCCAAGTCATGCAAGGTCACATCCTGGATGATTTCTTTCTTCTTGTGCACATCCCCCTTTGGCAAGGGGACATACTCTTCAGCTTCAAGGTCGAATTCTGTGGCATAGGTATCACACCTGCCCTGCCTCTGCAAAAGAAGAGAAACCTAAGTGCCTGGTGAGTTTTCACTGCCAAGTCCCCAAATGGCACATTGCTAAGTGAGATAAAAGTCTCAATTCCCAAGTGTGGCCCTGACAGCCTACTTGACAAACTCCAAATATGCCCCACTCCCCTGCTGCCAAGAGAAGGAAGCTATCTGCTCATCACTGGTCTCCAAAAACCCAGTTGAAAAACACCTGATACTTTCTTCAAGAACCTTTTTCCTCCTCTCTTTTAACTGTATGCAATTCCTGATAAAGGGCAAATCCAGTAGATTAACTGGAGACGGAGGGAGCTGTTCAGACTCTTTTGTAGGTGGGTGATTTATCGTATGATATGAAGTATTATGCTCATCCATTAAACAGTGAGGAACACTGTACAGGACACTGAAAATCAGATATAGAAAGAATGCCAACTAATGCTGCATTCCTTTCCACATGCATAGATCTTGGGAAGAAAATACCAAAGAGATAAAAGGAAGATTAAATACACTGCGCATTTCAATTTGAAAGTGACTACAGTTGTTTTGCTTTCTCACCATGTACTCTCCCTCTAGACAGGTGTTGTAGTATTTTTTTAACAGACTGTTTTAGAATAAAGATAAAGGGAAAGCAAACTTTATAAACATATAAGGGCAACTGCTGACCTTCCATCAGCATTGTACAGGACACCGCATACCCCCTGAAGCAAGCAATTTCCTGATCACCTGGGTCTCCTCATGGCAAACAAATCACAGCATTACCTTCACGGCTCCACTGTTGGCTTCAATGTAAATCACATCTCCAGCCTCTACTCGTTCTTTTTGCAAACTTTCAAAAATGCTGGGGTCCAGCTTAAAATTAAAAAAAAAAAAAAAAAGTAAATCAGAGACCTGTAATACATATTATATTTATTTCTGACATACTGTAAAATATCTTTCCATAAGAGACTTGAAGTAGCTAATGACTGTATGCAAAGAGTGTATTTGTGTGTGTGTGCATGTGCGTGTATATTAGGATGTGTGAGACTGGCTTTGGGGGTTTTAGTGTCCTAGAGAGAAAGAAGGAGAGTGAGTGTACCCACGTGCAGGGCAGAGGGGCGGCAGCGGAGATCTAGTCTCCTTCTTCCCTTCACTCCTAAGGTTGCAAACTGACCAATATGGCTCGGACTACTTGTAGGTGGCCTCACTGTCCATGGGACCACAGGCCCCAACAGCCTTTTAGAGACTGCTGTCCCCATTTCAGTCTTTCCCATTTCTCACCTAAGGTAGGGGAGGAACTTTCTGCAACTGAAGCCAAAGCCTGCTTTTTCTTTGTGGCTGGCATTCTGTGGGCCTATGATTTTAGACAAGGCTCTCTGAGCCTCAGTTTCCTCATCTATATAACAGCACCCAGGGTGATCATAGATATGTAAAATTCAAAGGGAAACATAAACCAGGATCTTTCCCAAGCCTTTTGATTCAAATTCCAGTGTTTATTCCCTTGGGCCTGCCTGTTTATATCTCCAGGAAAGTAGCACATTTTGGGAACTGTTGCTTTTCTCGAGATCATCCAGATTCCAACTACCCTTGGAGATCGATATTCTAGGACAGCATCTTTTGTAAGTCAGTATTCAGAAATAAGTTTCTCTTAGTTAAACTTCACATTTTATAATGTGAAAAAAACTTGGGCTTTGTCACAAACAAAATTAAAGAGTAAAAACCCAAGACTCGGTGAAAGAAACCAGACACAAAAGAACACATATTGTATGATTCCATTTGTATGAAATGTTCAGAAAAGGCAAATATATAGAAACAGAAAGAAGATTAGTGATTGCCAAAGGCTACAGGTGGGAAAGGGAAGCTACTGTAAATGGGCATGAGGTTTCTTTTGGGGTGATAAAAATGTTCTAAAACTGGATGGTGGTGATGGTTGTACAGCTCTGTAAATAGAGTTAAATTCCTTGAGTTGTACGCTAAAAATGGGTGAGTTTTATTGAAAATTATATCTCAATAAAGCTGCTGCAAATGGTAACCAGAAGAACAAAGCCCTGAGCTCTGCCTCACTGGCTGGGTGATGCCTGATGGCCTCCTGGAGCACTGCCATGAGCAGGAGGGATAGTGGCTGGTAAGCCCCTGACACAGGACCTGGGATGAGGGAGGCACTCCATACTGATGGCAAGCATGGTATTCTCCTTCACATTTAAATACCCACCAAGTATTTGAGCTCCGTCTATCCAAATATCTTATACATATGCTCAAAATAGCTAGAAGTACTTATTTTGGAAGAAACCGTGCAAAGCAGCCTTATGGATAACTGAAATCTAAACTGCATGCCTCATTTTACCTATCCTATACATTGGAGTATACTTTTTTTTTGCTTCAAGCATTTTTATATAGGTTAATTTCCCAAATGAATTGTTTGAAGACGTAATTACTGGGAAGGTGGCAGATCCTACAACGAAATCTAATTAATACCAAACAGGATACATGAGGGGCAAGTTTAAAAGAGTGATTTGCACAGGCATGCTCCTAAGATGAAAACCCTATTAGGAAAAAGAAAAATGGCCCTTTGAAAAAGAGACATTTTTATGATCTCCATAAAGTAGTGACCAAGAAACCACCTCATAGAATCAAAGAACCATAAAATCACAGGGGGGAGCAAAGATGGGGAAATTATATCATACACTGCAGTCAATCTACCGCAGTTTACATATGGGAAAATAGAGGCCCAGAGAGCTCAAATGACTTCCAAAGGTCACACAGCAAGTTGGAGGCTACTCTACCAAGTAACCAGCTGTATGACCCTAGGATAACTGCTTACCCTCTTTATGAGCCTCAGTTCCTTTATCTGTGGGAAATTACACACACACATACACACACACACACACACACACACACACACACAAAGTTGTGAACAACAATGGAAATATTTGTTGATGCACTTTGCCAGGGCCTGGCACAATAAATGAGAGCTATGATGCTAACATTATTTATTATTAATAAAGCAAAGCCTATAATCCATATTGGCCCATATCTCTAACTGAAGGCTCTCACAATGACATCAACAGCCACCTTGTTTTAGGTAACTAGGCACCGCATCCAAAGCTACAACTTTTATCCTTAAAAGAACTCTGAGATAGGTAACTTTTATTCCCATTTAACAGATAAAGAAACTACTGCTTAGAGATAAAGTCACTTGCCAAAGGCCACAGAGCTATCAGCAGCAGAGCCAGGATTCCCCTTCGGACTTTGACTCCAAATGTCCCCCCCCGCCGCAGGTGCCCCTGCTGCCGGCACCCTCAAGGTTTACAGGACAGGGGGCTCAGGGGGTGCCATCCAGGGCCTTCCACAGTGCCGGCACTATGGCTTCTCCATGAAGTCCTGGCCTGAGCAGAACAAACCACTGAAGCTACTCCAGGTTTCTAGGCTCTGACACATGTTAAGGAACTGCAGTCAGGATTCTGTGTTCGGTCCCTTGGAAGTCCATCCATCATCCATTCTACAACTCTTACCAGATTACTTAATGCTCTTGCTTTCTGTGAGCATGAGCATTACAGCTGAAAAATTAACGCCCAGGTTCAGAGAGAAGCCCAGGGTCTCTGACAAATGGTCATAACATGGGATACAGGATGGCAGAAGGTAGACTCGACTAACCACACAGCTCACATTTTAACATACACAATTTCCTAGGAATAAATAAGAAAAGTAAGAGCTACCTTTATTGATCCTCCTGTGTACTGGCCCTATACTTGGTACTGCTTTATCCACATAACATCCTCAAACAGCCCTGTGATGATCATTGGCCACAGTGCACAGACAAGGAAACAGGACAGAGAGGTTATACTGCCTGCCCAAGGCCACAGTGCTGAGAGATTCTGAGGCAAGAGATGAATCCACAAACATGTACTCACTTTCAATTGTTTGGTTCCTTTGGCTGTTTTGAGTCCTATGATTACATGGCTAATGGTTTTGCCATACCCCCCCATGGGATTCTCTGTCTCACACGGAGTTAGCTCTGTGACTTCGCCTTCATAAACCTCCTTGGTCTCCTTTATCCGCAGCCCTGGAAGAGATGGCAGACGAGCCCTGGTAAGAGGCAGAATTCTCTCTCTTGCTCCTTAACAAAACTTTCATGTCACAAGAATTAACAAGTCAACTTTACCGATGTACATTCAAGGTTTTCATCCTGCGGAGAAAAGCACTATAAACACAAATGTAAACTGCAGAAAAAATGTAAAATGCAGAAAAACAATTTTATGTCAGCTTTTCAAAGGGACTTTCTAGGTTTAAATCTAGAACTAAACAGAGAAGCTGTAATTCTCAAAATGGCTTCAGACATCTGCTACACCTCCAAGGGGGTGAAACTTAGTGTCAGCCTCTGATTCAGCCTCTGAACCCGAACAACAGCAGCAACTGCCTATGCCTCACTACACTCCTCCCAACACTCTCAGACTTAAGCAAGGTAACCACTGGGTTGTCGGAAAAGTCATAACATTTTTTTGTCTACATTTTTCAAAGGTCATTTATTTATATAAAGAACAAAGATCAATCAATGATATATTGCCCGTTTTGTTCGATAACATTTTGCCATCTTTCAGTGAGCTTCATAATTCCTCGTTCATAGAAGAACCTGTCTTTATTTGCAAAAAATTGAACAAGGTGCTGATTTACAGCCTCATCTGAATTGAACGTTATACCATGCAAGGAGTTTGGAAGACAGCGAAACAAGTGGAAGTCTGACAACACAAGGTTAGGCGAATACGGTGGAGATGGCAACACATCCCATCCAAGATCGAATAATTTTTTCCCCCCCAATAATTTTTGACAGGTGAAACTTGTGTGTGGTCTCGCACAGTCACGATGGAACACAACTCCTTTACAATTAATAAGCTCTGGACATTTCTGGATGATGGATTAGTTCAAACTGTCCAATTGCTGACAGTACACATTCGAATTAATTGCTTGGTTCCTTGGTAGAAGCTCGAAAAACACGACACCTTTAAAATCCCACCATACTGAGAGCATAACCTTCCTCTGATGAATGTCTACTTTTGATGTCATTTGAGGCAAATAATCACATCGGAACCAAGACCGTTTGCACACCACATTGTTGTAAACAATCCACTTCTCATCATCAGTTATCAGTCGCTTCAAAAAAGGATCATTTTCGTCACGTTTAATAAGCATATCACATATGTTTATATGCGCCGTCAAATGACTCTGAGTTCATGCGGAACCCAAATATCGAGCTTGCTTACGTATCCCAGCTTCTTCAGGTGATCGTGAATGCTTGAATGATGGATGTTCAATGTTTCTGTAATCTCTTGTGTCGTGTAACATGGGTTTGACTCGATCAATGCTTTTATTTTGTCGTCATCAACCTCGGTGGGCCTCCCTGACCAAGGAGCGTCGTTGAGATCAAAATCACCAGTATGGAATTTCATGAACCATCGTTGGCACTGACGTTCTTGTAGAGCAGTCATCGTAAACTTTATGCAACTTTTCAAAAGCTTGACGAATGTTCTTCCCTTTATGGAAGTAAAACAGTAAAATATGGCAAAAATGCAGTTTGGTCTTCCATCTTCAACTTCTTATAAAATCTCCAAAACTCAACCAAATCGTTCATTTTTTTTTTTTTAGAATGAAGCTAGAACTGTCAGCTGTCAAATGACATAGCAATAACATAGATGCGAATGACTCTAGCGCTTCCAAAAAGGAACTAGTGCCATGTGTTGCAAACATGCGTCATGACTTTTCCGACAACCCAATATATTAATCAGAGCTCCATGCCGACAGCAGATGATACCTGACCCTGCCAGGTGTTCTGGGTCTCCGGCTGACACTCACTGTGCACCTCAAAAAGAAATACCCAGTGTCATTCATTATTTTCAGGTTATTCTGTTTTCCAAGGCCACAACAATTTCCAAAGCAACCCTTCCCCTCCATTGTAAAGCATTTATAGCTTGTAGATTAGAATATTGTAAATGAAGGCAAATGTCTCTCCTCATTCTAAACATCGCTTAAATTGGCTGTTCAATAAGTGTTTGTTGCCTAATTAACTTTTAGAACATGATCTCAGTGCCTTTTGATATAATGTTTTTGCTGCCTGAAGTACTGTTCCCTCATTTTTGGCCTCGCCAACTGCTCCTTACAGACTCTCTGTTTAAAACTCAACCCCTCTAGAAAGCTTACCTGACACACCCTCTTCCTCACCCTCTGGATCACTGCACAGCCACTTGAGCCTCCCACTGTGCACCCACACACAGAACCACAGGGGCTTGTAGACCTGACTACCCCTCTGACAGACTGTCACTTAGGCTGAGGGCCTAGCATATTGCAGGCACACAGGAATGGATGAAGAAAGGAAGTCACTTAAGGTGAGGGAGTGTCTTCAGGCAGACCATCCAATACCCAAGAAATCTGCCTGCAGATACTTCAGCACATTCTATGTAAAGTCAGACATCTCTAAGGAGGTGGCCATGTGATGCAATAGCCCAAGGGTCGGCAAACTGAAGCTTGCGAGCCACATGCAGCTCTTAGGGTATGTTCCATCTCAAAAGTTTGCCGACCCCTGGAAGAGCCAATCCTGTCCCTCACAACAATTTAAAAATTATTCAAGAGCCATAAATATATTTTTACATAATCACCATTATGTGAGTAATATCCTTAAAAATTTTTATAAATGAAACTATGATAGTTTTATTTTCATTTTCAATTTTACTTCAGAACCTGTGGCTCACAAGCCGCAGTTTGTTGACCCCTGGCAGCTCTTTCGTCTCAAAAGTTTACAGACCCCTGCAATAGCCTATGTCACCATAACACCCCCAACCTTAGCACCAAAATCCAGGTCTAGTCTAGAACAAGCTTCTTTTTCCCTCCAAAGTCAATGCAGGCGTGTCTCTGCCCACTGGTTCGGGGGACAGGGAGGAATGACCAGAGGGGGCATAAGGAGCTTTCTGGAGTTCTAACAAGGTCTGTTTCTTTTTTTTTTTTTAAAGATTTTTATTGGGGAATTGGGGGGATGGGAACAGTGCTGGGGGATTGGGGAAGGGGAACAGACAAGTTGCTGTCGATTTGTTCTTCAATCTAGTTGTGGAGGACGTTGCTTCACTTGCCCAAGTTGGCACCATCATTGCGCTCTTCCCTGGAGAGGAAGATCAGTCGCCGGCTTCTGGACGGCCGCTCACTGCGGCGGCTGGCTGCTCAAGCTGGCTGCTGGCTACACATGGTAGCCCATGGCAACCGACTGCCACAGGGACTGCAGCCTACGCCGTCGCCAGTGACTCACGGCAG